ATCCCAATTAGTGTAAAACATACAGAGAAAAGATTATGAGTGTCCAAACTAAGGCAATGACTTTAATGTATGATGTTATTGATTGAGCTGTTACAGGTCTTCTAGGCTTCTTGATCAAGATTTAAGATAATTCTGATCAGTTTTTTAAATAATTAAGGCGAAATGAATCATTAATAAACTCAAAATTCACATTATCTCACGTAAAGCAGACTAGGATTTCATATCATCAACTGATATATTCAAGATAGATTAAAGCTACATTTGAACTCAGTGTTTTATGAGTATCACCAATATTATAAAAGTATTTAATGAAATGAAACAAACCACATTCCCAGACTACTACTTCATTAGTAATTGCTAGTGTAAAAAATATCTATAAACTAACATCGTGTTGAAAACATTCCACTTTCAAATTACTCCAGCTACAGTGAAATCATTAAAAAGAATTTTTTTCAGCCATAAACTCTAGGGTTAAACAAAAACCATTAATTACGTTCTCTTCCACCATTGAAATATGACTGATCGAGATACTATTTACTATCATTACAAGTAATGAACAATATAATAATAACGAAATCCAACTTATTATCCTTAGTAAAGAAAATACAAATAGATAGATAGAGAGACAAACAGACAGACGATAAAAGTAGAAGCAGGAAAACAACATGATAAAAACGAAAGAGAGAGAGAAAAAAAAGAGGAAATAATTTCCAATGCATAAAGAAGAAATGTTGTGAGGCGAATATGGAGAGAGTAATAACTCTTCTGCTTGACTAGACATTCAAATACTCGATATAACACTAAATATTACTTTACAGGTTAACAAATGTCAATTATAGAGAACTAGACAGATACTTAATATAATGGATTTTGTAAATATAAGTATAATCTATTCACATATGAATATAATAAGAGACTTAATTATAAGCACATTGAATAAATAAATATATCAACAACAAAAACTGAGTTTAAACAACAATAAGAGAAAATAAAACATGAAATAGAGTATAAAATGTATAAATGAATGGATACGATTTTATCAGTCTAACATTTATTGCATAATTATTGTGATTCCTGAATTCTAATGATGATAAGGGAAGGGATATGATTAAAAAATTCTAAAAATAAGTGACTAGTTAAATTGTTTCTTTTTGATTTTTTTAAAAAAGATATGTATTTGTGTATTCATTCACACAGACTCTATCAGATATAACCTATTCAAGGACGGGTGGTTAACGGTAGCCATGACAACGTTCGACATAGTATAACTGGTATTTTTTGTAAATTATTTAAGTTTGTCGTTTAAAGTAAAGGTGATCATTGGATAAAACGGGATGACAAAAATGTTTATCACAAAAACAAAATTCAAAAAGTAGCTATGCGATAGATGATATTCATTTTTATATGAATACTCGTCAATAATAAAACGAATGGTATGATAACAATTGGGCGCTCAGTATAAAGAAGTTATTATAAATGAACATTATATTTGAAATAGTCTCAACGATTGAAAGTTATAATAATCCCAACGTTTCATTCAGTAAACGTATCTGGACTTCTTCAGGGTGATAATCGATTATTTAAATTTTAATACCCGAGATTATTTCAAATATAATGATATTCATTTTTATTATTAAATCAGTTTATTCAGTGTATAATAATTTAATAGTTGAATTCATGAGTCAGTTGAAACTAGATCACCGTGGAAAACCTGGAAGTACTGAATGGCCGTTTCGTCCAAGTATACGACTCCTCAACAGTGCGTATCCACGCTCCAGCCTCGCGAGATTCGAACCCAAGACCTATCAGTCTAGTGCATGAACGCTTAACCTCTAGACCATTGATCCGGCATCCAACAGTGGTTTACAGGTTAAGTGTTTACATGTGGGACTAAATTCCTTGAGTTCAACTGTCGGATGTGAAGTCACGAATATACACAGTTTAGAAGTCTCATGCAAGGAAAAAAAGGTGGTCTAGTAAAAATGAGTTCATGATTTAAATAATGGAAATAAATATATCGATTAAAGATCCCCTTAATATTAAAAGACTAATATTTGAACGAAGAATATCCTTTTCGATAAATTCTCTACAAGGCCTACAATTATCTCATATCCAAATTAATAATCCGAAAAATGGCCAGGTTAAGGGTAAAGTACATCGTTTAAAGCATGTGAATTTAGGATTGTGACAAACAAAATACAATAAAATTGTTAATGTTGATATGACTCATATAGAATGTTAACTTGAATCTGAGTATATGTTAAGTGAGATTTTAAGATCCATGATCTGAATCAATATGGGTCATGTAGAACCTGAAGAAAATTTCATCGAAAATAAACATATATTTAAAATTCAAGAAAATAAAGTATTCATTAAACTGTCAGTATTCAAATTCTATGAACTGTGAAGATAATTATTAGTTTGAAATTATTGGAATGAATTAATGAATAGTTTCATTTCGTCTAAACAGAATATCTACTTATAGAATAAAAAGCTTTATACAGATACAAAAAGAATAACTGGTAACCAACGAACTGCTTCGATTTGGGGCCCCATACTGCCCTGGTAAGACCGAGAGTGGGGAGAGTCCGCTCTCCCTCTCCAAATGCTCTCACATGGCCACGTGCATACAACCATTTCCAGGGAAGTCCTACTCATTGCCTTCTCGCTGCATTATTTATGTTTACGAAATTGAGAGGAAAACAAGCGAATGTCCGGAGCTTTAACCGGGTTCATGGACATGAAGAGTTCACCTAGGGGAGTTGCGAAACCCTCATTCAAAACGAAAGGTGCACATGGACTCCAGTATCCTGAGGGAAAAAATGACACATGAACCGATTATTGGTCACCGGTTACCATGGGACTACATCTCCGTATGATGCTCCACTGCCTTGTGGATTAGACCTTTAGATCAAAGGCTCCGGGTGTAACCCCCTAAGAAAACCACCTGTTTCGGTTTGGGCACCCGGGCAGTATCACAGCCCTCACACACATCAAATGAGATTTGTGTGGCGCATATGTATTTGGTGCCTCCTTGTACCAATATCTATGTGTTCAAATACAATAAAATAATATATTCAATTTGGGTACCCGGGCAGTATTCTAGCCCTTATATAAATCGAATGATTTGTGTGGTGCATATCTATTTGGTGCCTCCTTATACCATTGTTTATGTGTTTAAATAAATAAATAAGCTATAATGTAAAGTACAAATGGATATACATAGTTGTATAATCTTATTTCTTAAACATCTTTATAGGTGTATTTATAGACTAGAGTTTACAAGAAAGTAATTTTTTGGGGGGGGGTGACTTATACTGACAGATATAAGTAGTATGTGTTAGGAATTGAAAGCAGAATGCATACCAACAGAAGAGAGAAGAGGAAAGAAAACGAAGAACAAACTGGAATAACAATAGGATCGGAAGAATGATGAATTATGCAAAGGACAAGTGAAGGAGGATAATCAACAAAGCCATTGTGTGATTTTGCATAAAACAATAGATTGGTTTACCGTACCTCAATTTTCGTTTACTACAATAAAAGTAATGACTGGATGATTATGAATGAACTTGTAGTTATTCGATATTTTAAGTTTTAAATTCTTAGCATCCATCACTAGATTAATTTTATTATTAGGAGTATAGTTTACATAGTTGTCACGTAAATCTTTCTTATAATCTCCCTTATTTACTAATTCAGACAAAATCGTTTCAATGGTAAACTTTAGTAAAAATAAACAGTGATGATCTAGCTCAAATCGACTCATGAATTAAACTATTAAAAATGATATTTCTACCCGTTAACTAGTTAAGGATATTAATCAAACTTTAAATGACTAAAAACCAATGCGATTTTTCATTCTATCTCTCCTCAAATGTTTACGCTAATTTAAAGATTGTAATTCAATTATTAAATGGCAGATTATCAATACACAATAAATTAAGCGTAAGTCAACCAAACATTTATACATATGTTACAGAGTATTGAGCTTGGATTCTTAAAAAAAGTATTTATAGATATTATATAACAAAATCAAACTAAAACAAACGAGGATTTGGTTTTCCTCTCTGTCTGTATTCACCATCATCCTCGTTATAATTATCGTTATCATTTCGCGTATATAAATCCAGTGAGGATCATGTGAAAAATGTTTAAACGTCTGTAATTTTCTTCCTCCCCCGCTCCCCCTCCGCAAAAATCCCATAGACAAAATGTCTCCTTTTTATTTGCGTGCCTATCTATCTGTCTGTCTCGAGACACGATGCATTCAATGTTACCACATACTTAAAAATAACGCTACAATTTAGTGATTAATTTACTGAGTGTACAGTGAAATAAAAAAAGGGACGGAAGTATTTGACATTTAGAAATACAAACATATACTACTACTATACACAAACATACTTATCTATATAAAATATGTTAATGAATAGGGCACGATGAAGGAAGCGAGATAATAGCAGCTGACCTGATAATTGCATCATTACGAAAAGGAAATTAATAACTTGTGTGCTTGTTGTCACGAGTTGATATCAGTCAACTAACATCGGAGAACAAGAAACCTTAGATAAATGTTTCCTCCCTAATAAGAGAATCATCAACGATGTGAGACTATAATGCTAACTCAAGGATTGAATTTAATTCATAACCAGTGCTTAACGTTTAAACAATTTATTTTTAAATCCAAAGAATCATATTATCGATTTCAATTACTTTGCTATACAATAGAACAGTCAGCGAATATATAATCTTATCATGAATGAAAGATGCTATAGTTTAATTTGCAGGCAGTTTTTGACATGGGTCAATAAGTGGAATCTACATTACGCAACATATTTTTGTCATAAGAATCAAATGGCATTGTATTTGTAATCCAAAATGAAAGATAGTAGAAAAACATGAACATCAAGAAAAAATAACGAGAATGAAAGAGAAAGGGAATAAAAGATCGATCGACAGAAAAACAAACAAAGTGAACTTCGCAACAATACACTTACCTGGAATGTATTTAACAAACTGTACAATAAAACGTGAATGTGTTTCAAAGTGTTTCATCATTTGACCCCAAATATCTTCAACACAATCGGATGCCTGGATTAATCTACATGGTTGGGGTAAATTACTTCGAATGTTCTAAAAATAGAAACAATAATGAAAACAGTATTACAATAGTGGTTGTGTAGGAAAATAATATTTAGAAAACAAGAGGATGGTAGGACATATATGAAATACTCTGTTGAATAAATACATGATCGATCAGATCTATATCCTAAAGCTGTACTTACTATAATAATAATAATGATAAGTATTATTTGTATCAGTGCTAAGGTTGGACTTGATAGTTTCAAATAAAATGAGCATTGGATGAAGAAATAATTATAAACATATTTTTGTGATATCCCAATGAGTAGAAAAGTTGTATTACTGATGTTTCATGACAAAGTAAACTACTTCTTCAGAGTAAATAAATAACCGAACATTCAATTAACAGAAGTTTAAATAGTGCTATTTAAACTTTAAAGAAGTGACTTATATTAAGTCGCCCCCAAATGCCCTGGTAAGACCGAGAGTGGGGAGAGTCCGCTCTCCCTCTCCAAATGCTCTCACATGGCCACGTGCATACAACCATTTCCAGGGAAGTCCTACTCATTGCCTTCTCGCTGCATTATTTATGTTTACGAAATTGAGAGGAAAACAAGCGAATGTCCGGAGCTTTAACCGGGTTCATGGACATGAAGAGTTCACCTAGGGGAGTTGCGAAACCCTCATTCAAAACGAAAGGTGCACATGGACTCCAGTATCCTGAGGGAAAAAATGACACATGAACCGATTATTGGTCACCGGTTACCATGGGACTACATCTCCGTATGATGCTCCACTGCCTTGTGGATTAGACCTTTAGATCAAAGGCTCCGGGTGTAACCCCCTAAGAAAACCACCTGTTTCGGTTTGGGCACCCGGGCAGTATCACAGCCCTCACACACATCAAATGAGATTTGTGTGGCGCATATGTATTTGGTGCCTCCTTGTACCAATATCTATGTGTTCAAATAACAATAATAATATATTAAGTCACTAAGCATCAGCAATGCAACTTTACTACTACTAGGGATACAACAAAAAAAGCGTATCCATAATAAGTATTATTCATATAAAGTGGTCTTCAAATGATAATTCTTGTGATTATCAACAGTGTAGACTGATAAACGGTGGCAGCAATAAAAAAACTGAACTCTTGGAATATCATTTATGGGTTGTGGAGATTGTCAAGTTTTTGATTGAGATCATGAACCGATTGATTTTAGACCAACGTTGGAAACCTAGAGTCCAATTTTGGGACTCCTTAGCAGTGCTCATCCACGATCCCGATAGCGAGATTCGAACCCAGAGCTTTCATTCTCGCGCGCGACCGCTTAACCTACTGGACCACTGAGCCGGTATCCAACGGTGTTAATGCCTAACCGCAACCAATCCACGAAGTTGCGCGACCATCTTCCATTGTACTGAGGTAGATACCTGTTTCTACCCGACACGGATTAGCTCCACTGGTCACGACTTCTCACCAGAATATATTTATGAAGTGATGAAGGTTATTTATAAAAAATAATGCATTAAAGAAAACAGACTGCTTCATGTTAATTCAGTGTTTCAATGAAGGGTATAAAAATAGGATAATCACTAACGAGATAGTTGAAAAACATGAAAAAAAAACTTTTTCTGACCTAATATCGCGTGTTTATTGGATAAAGCAGTATGTATGTGCATATATATATATATATATATATATATATATATATATATATATATATATATATATATATATATATATATATATATATATATGCGTTGAAAAGAATAAACATTATTCGGATGTCCATTCTTGAACTATTATCATCTAACTGGCGATCACTTAAATATTTATCGTCAAGATCGATAGGGAAATAAGAAAAGGAAGCCTGTTGAAATACTTTGTTCTGATAATTTTATTTTGTATCACTACTATAATATTGAATGAAGCCTAATAATAATAGTAATAATCTAGTAATAAAAATGAAAAAACAATACACAAAAGGTATAAAAAATGCAACATTTCTTCAGAGTAATTAACATAACTAGAAACAATTCACTGAACAAAAACAAGACACCAATAATATTTTTCAACGAATCTGTCAATAATTTTTGTAAACTAGTTCAAAAATCAGTTCATTTTTGGCTAAATTTATATTTGGATAACAAATTTGTTTTTGGTATATATATACAAATGTATTAACCGATTACTAAATAATAATAATAATAATAATAATAATAATAATAAAAGATGGATAGTGGCTAGCAGTGGAATCCAGGATGCACGTTTCATCCTATCGATTGCAGTGTTAAACATCAATAGGAAGATTTAAGTAAATAGTACCAAGTGAATATAAGTCATGATAATAATAATAATAATAATAATAATAATAATAATGTAGCGAACAAGAATACAAGTGAGGACAACTAATTTATGGTTTAATACGAGATTACAGAGTTCTTTCGTAAGATGTTGGAAGCATACAATAAATACTTTATTTCCAAATCCTCCATCAATTGTTTCAGACTTTATTGTTCTTCCATTGGTATTATAATTACTTTCTGTTTATATTCTAATTCGTTTCAATTCGATCTTCATAACCTTTTAATGCCAGGAATTCCATTTTTGATCGGTGTTACAGATATAAGTAGCATACACTACAATAGTAGTAGTAGTAGTAGTAATAGTGATTGGTCTTATATTATTATAAATTACCATAATTATTGAAATAATTCAAGATAAATCTCTTGAAATGTTTAAATCAAGTGAAGAAGAGAGAATAACAGGGATTTATTTTATATTGTTAAGTTCTAGTTAAATGTTTACAACCAAGATGAGAATTACAAAGTTTTAAAAAAAAACAACTTAAATCAATGAGTTCAACTAAATTTGTTGCGAACAGGTATTAGAATAATAAAGAGAGATGTGAATAAATTTAAAAGACTACATACAAAATACATATTTTACATAGAAGAACATATTACGTCATCGATAATAGTAAAAGACTAAAGAGTTAGAAATTAGTGGTTATGTAATGAACAAGAGTTAAAATAGTGAGACCATAATTCATGGATAACTTTTGAGCGACGCTAGACTGACCTTGAGAGTATCCATCTAATAACCAAGATCAAATGAGGGTTATAAACCTGTGTATGGAATTATAATTATAATTTACAGTTGATGATTAAGGACATCATCACAAACTGACATCAACCATAATGCCAAAACTCTATTCATCCTAATGAATAAGTGAATTTCGCGCCAAAATCCAAGACCTGATATCTTATTCCTGATTGGTTCGTTCATAAATGATAGTCTTGCCATTAAAATCTAATTTTGGTTTAATTTAGTAAATTTTTTATCTTATAACTGAATTGACTCAAATTATTTTATTAGGCTTTGTTGATAACGTAGTCACCATTTTTTTAAAATTAGAATTTTGATCTTTGTTTATATAATTCTTCTAGAATACTTTTTTTTTTTCTTTCGAATGTATCCCGTATGATTTTTAAAAAGATAAATGTAAATACTAACTACAATTCAATATTAAAACATCTTATGAACTCTGATCATATGATCTCATCTGAAAAGTCTTTTAAAAGTTCTCTATACAATCAGATGATTTGATTCGAAAGAAGTACAAATGAATAATTTATACACTGTAGAAGCGTTAGTAACACTTATTTAAAAGTATAAATTATATGTGCAAAAGCGATACGTTCAAATTATCATTCTTTCATGGTTGTAATACTTAATTTACATAAACAGTGATTCGATCTTATTAAATCCTTCTAATGTTTTTATTCTTTTTAATGTTAATTGTTTATTATTATTACGTTCACCTAACTCTATCTGGAACCTCCCTAGGGCTACTGCCGGTCCCAAGCTCGGATGAAAGAGGAGGGTTGAGCATGGGGTTAGAGACCCCATCCAGTAGAAAACTAACTCGTTAAAAAACGCTAACCAGAAAAAAAATTATTCAAACCATTTAAACTCTACCCTGGGAGTTAGGTCATCATTTAGAAGAGTTATGACGCCTCATGATGAAAGCCGAGTTCCTTCGGAAGTCACGAGGCTGATGTCCCTTCTGACAACCAAAGCAATCATTTATTTAAATACATGGAATTCTCGTACAATGTGAGAGATCGAAAGAGCTATTCAAATCGCTGCAGAAATAAAGATACAACCCGGAGGTGCTTGGGATCGGTGAAACACATTGGACGCGGGTTGAACAACAACGACTAACTTAAGGGGAACTTCTGTTATATTCTGGCCATGAAGAAGAAAATGCATCACATACACAAGGAGTTGCACTGATGCTATGATGATGCTGCGTTCACCTGCTTTTCAAAGTCGTCAAGTGGACAATTATCCTTTAGACATTTGATTTTATTTTATTAGCTCTCTTCAATTCTCGTATATTAAGCAACTTTCTCTGTTACATGATTTGATCTATTTTTCAATAAACTATCTTATTTGTAAACTAACTATAAATGCGATTGTACAGCTTGAGTAAAAGATATTGTCGAAAAAAAACATTCTTCGTTGAATTATCTCAATTCTTCAAGGAAGAAAAGCATTTAGTCCCTTAAATTTATTCACATATTCCCTATAGTACACTGGTGTGTATTCATAACAACATCCAATTAAAGTTCTTTATAAATCATTTTTTAATTTTGATCATGAAACATTACAGATCAGAAGCAGATAGAGAGAATCTCACAAAATAAAAGAAATTTATGTTTCTATGCTTAAATATTTTTGTTTTCTTTCTATTTTTAATTAAGTCAAGAGTGAAATGATTACCAATCAATAACATTGCATGATAACTGCGATACATCTCCATACAGACTAAAATTAAAAAAACAATGTGTACTACTGAACTCTAGGTTCAGTAGTTGAATGATATATCACAGTTCTAGCACGATGAAAAGTTTTAAATTCAGTGTCCTGTTGAGTTAATTGAAATGCTCTCTCTCTCACTTTCTCGAAATGCTCTTACATGGCCACGTGTATACAGCCACACCTAAAGGAGTTGGGAATCCCTTATTCCAGTATCCTGAGAGAACAAATGGTATATGAACCAATTGTTGGTCACTGGCTACCATGAGACTGCAATTCCTGACGTTGCTCAACTGCCTTGTGGATTAGACCTTTATATCAAAGTCTTTGAGTGTGACTACCTAAGAAAACTACCTGCTTCGTTTTGGGCACCCGGCCAGTATCCCAGCACTCACATAAATCATTCGATTTATGTGGCACATATCTAATTGGTGCCTCCTTGTACCAATGTTTACATGTTTAAATATTAAAATAATAATTGAGTACATTAAAATAAATATAAAGTTTTAAGACCAAACTATAGAACAATTATTCAGTTTATTATAAGTTTTATAGTATTGAGTTCATGATGGAAATCATTTGTACAATTTTGTTTACAAATGTTTCTTAACGGACTAAAACAATATTAAACGATCAAATACAGTTTGTAACATAAGCTAATCATGTGATCTTTTTTGTTGTACTCAGTTGTAAAATTACATTAAGAATGTTTTAATGAAAATATCAACAACAACAAAAAATTAAAGAAATTTCGTTTAAAAATACAAAAAAAAGTTTATATGTAATTCGATTCATAAAATGGACTAATTTCTATATACACTAGTAAGGTAATGTGAAAGAACAATGATAATTATCAAAATGTAGATACATTAAAACGGAATAGAGTTATGCGTTTTAAAGGTTTAAAAAGAGCTATAGTCTTAGTGAATGAAACAAGTTATTAAATGAAGATTCGTATCAGTTAGTCAGTCAGCTACAACGTAGGACCAGGCACATATATACATCGGTCCAAGTTGCCACATCTTATTAGCACCGAATTCATAGAGTGCATACAGAGAGAGAGTATACACCTACGCCATTGTGATCGATTGGTATACTCGTACTCGTACTCGTTATACCATACATGTGAAAGCCAGTAGTAGTAATATTAAGTTGTTTAAACTGAAATAGGTAGAGCTAGATTCAAACTTGTGACTAAGAGCCCAAAATTCAAACTTTTCAACTATTGGACAACTGAACTACAACAAGTTCAAAATCATATCTACCTACACAGTATATTCAAAATTAGATTAAAACTGAAAACAATAAAATTCCCATCAAAGGATTCTAGTGGTTTCCAAAAAGAGGAAAAAAAATTGAACAGCCTGATAATCTTTAATTTCTAACGGATAGGAATCGCCAATGATAAGGTATATTTGTGAAAATGTCATGTCTGACCATCCTAAAACAGATGTCTTTTGGGCTTTATGGTTGTGCTTTCAGGTTTCCAAGACTACTTCTAATCTCGTTTTCTTTACAAGTATTTCAAGAAGAAGCATCCTTCACGGTGTAGGCATCCGGGAAATGACAACTGTTCACACATCTTTAATAGCACTGTAGTTCAATCAGTTTATAGGTATTTTAAAACTCTCGTATATATACTGGCCTACAAAATATGCGAATTGGGAAACCATAGGTAGGTAGATAGATGAGACTGGTTTAGAAACAGTAACTAAATGAAAATGAAAATTAATGAAATAAGTAAAGGGCGAGACTGTAATTTATGAAAGAACCAATCAAACACAAGATAACAGGTCTTGGATTTCAGCGCGAAACTCATTCATCCATTTGGCTAAAGAGCGTTTCGGCATTTTGCCCAATGCCGATTAGTCATGAAAACCCTAAATCTAATTCCTAACCCTAGCCATCAACTAAAAATCATAATCCTAATTCTTCACACCGGTATATAGCCTTCATTCAGTTATAGTAAGTAGGTGAACATTTCCAAGGTAGCTTTAGCGTCGCTTGAAGGTCGTCCATAAATATAAACGCCAACATTGCCCATTACTCAATCACATCAATCTGATTGTAATACAAATGTAGTATGTATCGAAAAAAGTGAATGTTTAGATTTTGTCCGGTAGTTAAAACAATTGATTTTCAATTGTAATATTCTTTAAATTCAAAACATCTGCACTCCTTGATTTGTTTGTTTCAACAACTCAAAATCTAATTACTACCTACTATTAATTCCACTACACATCATTGGGGAGCGGTGACTTTATGATTTAAATACCGATCTTTTAACGGGAAGATCACATTTTTATGAATTTTACTTAATCTGAATGTTGGCGATTCAGCGTAGTTTATTTGCAGAACTGTAACTTATGCATAAACAGTTTGGTTTATGGTAGATCATATTACAAATCTATACTTTATAAATAATGTATAGTATGCAATATGAGTAAGAGCATAGTGAAGGGACGAACTATAAGCAACCACGACGGATTTTCAGCTAATTCTTAGCCAGTTTACAAAATAGCATTTGCACAGGGATATATAATTTTGAATCGATTAAACCCTTCTACAGGTTACTCTGCCTGTAAATCTAAAGATATCGTCCTCAGATTATTCTTGGTTCGAATCAGGTATTGAAGGCTACGATTAGAAGTTTAAACTTAAGGTTTTATTATAAACTGACATTAGATGTAATGTAGAAATTCTTTGTAGCCTAATCAAATAAACAGATTTTGAATAAATCTAATCAGTCCCGTCATAAATTATACTGTCACTGGGTTAAGATTCATTTCAAGATGTTTAGGGGGGGGGAGAATTCCGTGGTAGTGTTAATTCGTCGGCTATATACCATTCTTCGTCATCGTCTTTAATCTTTTAAGCGTTGAACAAAAAATATTTTTACTCGTCATTATATAATATGGCATAAGATTAAAGTTATATATTTTAAATTCTTGCACCACATTCTTGATTCTGATTGGCTCATCTCCATACTTATTTTAAGTGAAAAATGTGCCTTTAAAATTTCTAATAAAAATTATAAATCCATAAACAAAATGCAATTGATAAGCAATGAAATGAAAAGAATACAGAGAAAAAATAGATACAGGAAATAATACTTACCTTTCTTTCAGTCATCATATATTTGGCAGCAATATGAATGCGTTCAGCAAACTGTTGTACTGTTATAGAAGTCTAGAATGATAAAAATGATAAGATATCATTGAAAGAAAATAATAGAATCATATGTTCTCTTATTAGTACTATTATGTTCATTATTAGTATTATTAGGGGGAGGGAATAAAACATTTCGATGCAATTTGGTAGAAATTAATCGACAAGAAAATCTCAACCTAGACTCCATACTGGTTTTCACTAATCCCTCACATCTAGTGAAATTCGAACCCAGATCACAGGGGCAATGTCATACAACATCAACAGGTTACACTGTAGTGATATTAAAAATGATGTCTTCTTGTAAATGTACTCTGCTGGAAGCGACAAAATTTTGCGCACTCAATTGAAAGTGTCGTAAAACGAATTAGTTCTCAAAACGTTGACCTAAATTAACCAAACAATAGTAACTTGTATGAATGTAATCTTGAATTTTCAAACTGTGGGTATACCATCGAATTAGGCTCTATGAAATTCACACTCTAAATGACTAGTTCTCAAGGTTACATAAAAAGTTATTATAAAAAGCCATAATGTTTCCAGGCATCGTCTTCTTAATCATTAGGAGAAGCGAGAGCTCAAAAGTCATCAAGGGAGTAGGGAGAATAGTAGAATTCCAAATAAAGAATAGATTTTACATTGCTTGCCTATCTTGATGACCCGACCGAGCTATATTGGCTGGAACACATGTTCCTGCAGGTTCTACCATGCCAGGCAGGTCGATTGAAAAACGGTAAGACTAAAAGCAGCAACTCAAGGTCTGAGGGCGAAGTCGTATTGCTGACTGTACAGAGGTGTGACAGCCGTAAGGTGTTTCCCTCGGACAACCAGCATAACAGCGATGCTGCCTTCTCACAAGGAAGGGAGGGGTTAAAAAAAATTGACCCTAAAAATGTCACACCCCACCTTACCTCACGGATTTCCGTCTCCGGTGGTAAGGCCCTTTGAAGAACTGAGCTAACACATTAAAAACATCCCACAAAAAGGCCGTGCGCGACCGGTCTCTGGCAGTCGTTCCTTGGGCTCTGAGGTCACGCTCCCAGGTCTTCAAGACCAACACTAATCCGATTTCCTTTTCAGGTTCCTCAAGAAATACCCTTCCATGGTGTGGGCAGCCGGGAAGTGACACCAGCCCTCATACCCGTAACAGCACACGAGACCACGTTGGTCACATTCAAATCCTTCCTACACCTCCTAATAACTCTTTATCTCCACGACTAACCCTTCTCACGTCCCTCTATAACCTCGCCCCGCTAGTGCAAACGATTCGAGTACGCGGAACGTTATTCCTGGTCTCCTGAAACCATGCCCTAAACTACACGTAGGAGCTTTCAACGTCCGAACACTGTGCCAAATAGGACAACAGGCTTCCTTAGCTAGGAATTTAGAATCTCGCTCCATCGATGTGTGCTGCGTCTCCGAAACGCGCATACAGGATCCGAGTAGTGTCATTCATTTGACCTCACTATGTCAAAGTAACGAACCAACTTGATTTACGCTTCATGTATCTGGAAGCCCTGATGCTGCTTCCCGTGGCCTCACTGGCGTAGGTATAGCATTGAGTCCTAGGGCAGAACTAGCTCTCTTAGACTGGATCCCAGTAGACAGTCGTCTGTGTGCTGTCCGACTAAACGGAACAGTAAGGACTCGGAAAGATAGAGACACTCGTCGTTGCCTCTTCGTCGTCTCTGCCTACTCTCCCACTGACTGCAGCTCAGATAATGTAAAAGATGAGTTCTACAGAATGCTTTCCGACCTTCTCCGAAAAGCTAGGCGTTCAGATGTAGTAATAGTGGCTGGTGACTTTAATGCTCAAGTAGGTAAACTAAGCGAAAGGGAAAGACACCTGGGTGGATCTTATGGTGTCGCGGCTCAAAGAGCAGATAGCGGCGAACGTCTGTTGCAGCTATGCTCAGATAACCTCCTGTTTTTAGCAAACACTAACTTTAAGCATAAGGAAAAACATCTTTTGACATGGCGACCCTCTAATTCATCCCAACGCTGGACCCAAATAGATCACATCTCTATCAGCCACCGATGGAGGGGCTCGATAGAAGACTGTCGCTCATTCTGGAACACATGCTTAGACTCAGATCATGCTCTGGTTTGAGCGCGTGTTTGTCTACGTCTTACTGGACGTAGGAAAGATGGAACAAGGAAACCCCTTAGGGTCCTACTTAATGATAGTCAAGCTAAGAGTATATTTCAGGAACAACTAGAAAAACAGTTAGGCAGCCATGTAAGTGATGCCCACCCCGAGGCAGCGTGGAATGACATCCGAAAAGCTGTAGAAACAGCAGTGATGTCTGCAAGTACGCTGAACCATAAGGTTAGCGAGAAACACTGGATCTCAGCAGCATCTACCGCACTGATAGATGCTCGAAGACTCATTCCATCTGGCTTTGAACATAACGAAGAGCGGAGTCAGCTTAAGCGTAAGCTGACTAGAAGCCTATGCAATGGTCGTGAACAGTGATGGGTAGCGAAAGCAAGAGAGATGGAAAAGACAGTGACAATAGTTAAAAGCAGACAACTGTTCAGACTTGTTAAAGAAACCGGTATTAGGAACCCAACTGTTAGCGAAACAATCTCAGAGAAAGATGGACATATTATTCATTCTCAATCCAGGAGATTGGATCAATGGGCAGAACACTTTAGGGATCAGTTCAACTGGCCTTCAGTCACACTTCGGTTTCCCACGATCTCCAATCTACCTGAATGGCAAGTTGATGTAAGTCCTCCAACTCCTTACAAAGTTGAAAAAGCCATAGGAAATCTGAAGCGTGGGAGAGCAGAAGGCCCTGACAGGTTTACCGCTGAGATTTTTAAGGATGGCGGTCCAGTATTAGCAGCGAGATTGACTGAGGTCTTAGGTAGAATCTGGGAACTGGACGTAATCCCACCTGACTGGTCTCAATCACCGATCGTGCCAGTTTATAAGAAAGGACAATAGTCTTCTTGTGACAATCACAGAGGAATTAGTTTGACTAATATAGTGTCTTAAATATTAGCTTCAATAATACTTCGATGTCTAACCAAAGCTCGTGAAATGCAGACTAGAGAAAACCAGGCTGGTTTTCGACCTGGATGTGGTTGTATAGATCAGATATTCACACTACGTCAGGTCCTAGAACATAGACACACATTCAGAAGCCCCACAATTGTAGTATTTCTCAACCTTAACGCGGCATTTGACTCTGTTGATCGTGAGGTTCTATGGCAGTGTTTGTCACTGAAGGGAGTACCAAAGAAGTACATTAACCTTATAAAGGCTCTCTGCTCAAACACAACTGGTCGAGTGAGAGCTTACGGCGAACTGTCATCAGAACTGATAACCTCAAGTGGTGTTCGTCAGGACTGTCCACTCTCTCCATTCTTGTTTAACTTTTTCGTTAACGTGCTTTTAGAAATAACACTTTCCACATCTGACTTTCCAGGGCTTGAACTTTTACCGGGAGATTCACTTGTTGACTTAGAATATGCCGATAACATTGTTCTATTTGGTGAAGACGCTGACAAAATTCAGAGTCTGCTGACCACTCCAAGCAACAATGCAGGCATGTTCGGGATGCGATTCTCTCCCTCGAAATGCAAAATGTTGCTTCAGGATTGGGTTGCATCGACACCCGAACTAGTGATAGGGAGTGAAGTAGATGGGCGTGTCGACCGCTTCACTTATCTTGGAAGTCTCATCAGCCCTTGTGGTCTGGTATGTGACGAAATCTCAGCACGGATACAGAAGGCTCGACTAGCTTTTGCCCACTTGCGTCATTTGTGGCGTAGGCGAGATATCCGTCTAGTAACCAAAGGACGTGTTTACTGCGCAGCAGTTCGTTCCGTCTTACTTTATGGCAGTGAAGCATGGACGATAAGAGTAGAGGATATTCGTAGGTTACTAGTATTTGACCATAGATGTCTTCGAAACATTGCTCGTATATCCTGGGACCACCAAGTAAGTAACTCAGTTGTTAGGAAACGGGTACTAGGTAAGGATGGAAAATCAATTGACGAAGTAGTGAAACTTAATCAATTTAGATGTCTGGGGCATGTGTTGCGCATGCCCGACCACCGACTGACCCGACGTGCTATGTTTTCTGGTGTAGGAGTAGGTTGGAAAAAAACTATGGGCGGCCAGACCAAAACATGGCACAAATCCATGAAGTCACTGACAAGTGGACTGAGCCATGTTGGTAGGTGTAGACTACTTGGTTGGGGACCGCGAGATGATAGCAACCGATGGTTAGAGACCTTGAATGATATGGCTCAAAATCGTTTGCAATGGCGCAGGTGCATCCACTCTTTGTGTTCTCTGAAACTCTAATCTTCTGAGTTCTTCATGTCCTTTATTTTCTTTCCAAATTTATTCCACTGTATCATACTCCTTAAATAACATCATCAAACCTTAACATTTCCTGTCACTACTTATACTTTCACTACTCTGCCACTATGGGATTTGAATCGATAACTGAATCTCTGTGCTAATGTGGTATGGCAACTCGAACTGATGTACGTACGTACGAAGTTCCACGTTGTTACTGACTGACTGACAATATTATAATCTCATAATTAATATCTAATCAAAGTATCGAATCTGATTAATATTGCTAAGCTCAGTTATGCTATAGATAAGATGTCAAAATTCTTCAAGAGTTTGTCTGAATTGTATGCTGTATTGCAGAAAGTGCCAAATACAAATTTAGAATATTTTAACTGATATACTAATTATTTTGATCATAATCTTACAAATCCATATGATACACAACTACGAAGTGATTATCAGATTTAAATTAAAAACATGAAATTTAGAGAAGGGATCTCGTGTCAACGAATTATATATATATAAACTACTGGTCCTGTGAACACATATTATCAACGAATAAACATGAGATTCTGTTATCGTAGTATGGTTCTACAAGGATAAAAAAAACAAGTTAAAAGTCCTATTCTTGAACATCTAATCGACTGTATTTATTCTACCGTTCTACACGTTGATTTCAAGGTTATTTATACGATTCTACCGAATCTACCTATGTTTATTCGTATCCAACTCCTTAAAACAGCAGAAGCTCTTACCATTCATGAGCTCAAGCCAGAACTGTGTGTACATCTTTTTGTTATCGTTACCTTGTCCTTTATTATTATTATTGCATTTCGTATTTGAAAATATCCCCCTCTCCCTTTACTTATGTCTCATGTCCTCATCATTACTTTCATAATTGTTTCTGAAATTACTTCATTTAATTTTGCACATTCATTACCTTTAATTGTTTTAAGGAAAATATTTTAATCAGCATATTTCATTCATATTATAGTCTATTTGCACATATACAATCTCTTATTGTTATCATTCATATTACGTAATCTAGTATTATAATCTCTCCATTTAATAACCACGTTTATCCCCTTTTCATATGTCCTCACGGGGCAAGTACTTTAACAAAAAAATTATCACTAGAATGGATTTTGTGGAGAATCGGTAATTTCAATAGTTGAAATCATGAATCAATTGAAGCTAGACCACCATGGAAAACCTGGAAGAACTGGACGGCCGTTTCGTCCTAGTATGGGACTCCTCAGAAGTGCGCATCCACGATCCCGCCCCCCGCGGGATTCGAACCAAGGACCTACCAGTCTCGCGCCAGGCGCTTAACCAACTAGACCACTGAGCCGGCATCCAACGGTGTTAATGTCTAACTTCAACCAATCCACGAAGTTGCGCCACCGTCACCATTGTCTTCAGTGAGCTGATATCTCACAACAGACCTGGTTGAACTCCACTGATCACAGCTTCTCACTAGAACTCAATAGTGACTGACTTCAATATATATATATATATATATATATATATATATATATATAAATTATAGTGTACAGCATGTTAACAAATTCGTCAAAAATAGATCTCCTCAATGAACTTTGCGTTTTTAATATTTTAAACGGTTTAATCATAATATGTTGCACAAATATATGGGGTTAAATGATCTCAACTTTTGAAATAGACAAGGCTATTTTTATCAATGTGGTAATATATATGGAATGTGTACTGACAGATTTCGATTAAATATTCTGAAATATCGTGTAGCCTACAGGAATAAAGTTAGCAAAGATTTGAAATTGAGTCCATGTACCCTCCCCACTCATTTGATTTCATTTCTGACCAGTCAAAAACATATTCACAGATGCACAATGGAGTGTCTACTTTCAGACTAATAAAAGCAGTATGTATTCAATGCTACTAACAACTTGCAATTTTTATTACTACAGTAATATTATCTTATATGCCTACATCGACAAGTTAGTCCGATAGCATTTCCTGAGAGATTTTTAAGAGTATCGAGTTTCCACCATCAGGTCGATACTTTGCAATATTTCAAGGTGATTAAGAAACAGACAAAATCCAGTCTTCTGAAGTTTGCTGAAACCGTTGCTATCAGGCGTCAAAACCCTGAATTATGTATTCAAAAGGAGATGGTTATTAATCTTTCCTTGTCTTGGTGATAAATATTCCTTCATTATATCTTAAGCCTTTTTTTTTGTTTTTGTTTTTAACTCTTTCTTGTATTTATTACATTACTATGTCTTTTTATTTCGCCCGTCTTCTACATTATTAATCCTGTTTTATTAAATGAGCTTTACTCATTTTATTCCTATCACTTGTTTCTGGCCCTTTGAAGTCAAGTCACAATTTTCTTTTACATAATATACATATTTACAATATTCAATCTATTCAATTTATTTACACACTTGCTATACTCTACTAAAGTGTTTTTAATATAACTTTCAACCAAACCCTCTCATGTAAGTCATTTGAAACTCATTATGTAATTATGATTTTTAAATATCACAAGCTGTAAGCAGCTGATGAAAAACAGACGAAATAAAATGAATTCATGCTATTCTCCTAGAATCTTTGTTCTTGCTCTTTTCACAATGATAAAAGGGGACTATGTGTATAAAATTATAGTTTGCTGAGTAATTATTTTGATATTTAAATTTAATGTTTCAAGCAAAATGATTAAATAAATCGATAATAGAGTTGACCCATGGCTAAATTCCCCCTTTTTTCAAATGACAATTATAAATACAAAACGTTACTATTATTATTCATAAAGCATACAAAATAGATACGACTTAAATATATAAAAAAGTGAATATAGATAACAGTAGAATTAATAAACTCACCGGTCTAACACCATTCTTTAAACGTGGACTAATTTCCTTATTATGTATAAGTGGTACAGTAATCGATGGTAATGTAGTATTTACAATGGAATGATTAACAGGGAAATTATTCACTGTTGATGACAATAATAATGAAGAAGAGGAGGGTAATGTTGATGACGATGGATAATCCAAATTACTGATCGGTTGAGCATTACGATCTAATGATGTTGAATACATTGAAAGATTTTCAATAATTCTACCAAAATTACCCATTATTGGTGGTGGTGATGATGATGAGGATAATGATGATGATGTAGTTGATGTATAACAATTATTTGGTAATTCAGACAATGAATTAGAAATACTAACACGATTTAAATTTGGATAGATTTCATCAGATAATCCACGTACACGACTATTGGATAGAACTAGACCAGCAGCGGTAGCAGCTGCTGCTGCTGCAACAGCCGCCGCTTGCATAGCAGCTATTGTCGATGGATGTGTAACATCAGATAATGATGATGTTACGGATGATGTTGATGATGATAATGATGGATGTAATGAACGTAATGTATCAGTTGATTCATATTTACCAATTTTCAACATATTTTCATTCATATGACCACTAGTAGTATTAGTAGTAGTATCATATGGATTAATATTATAAGAATTTGACAAAAATGATCTACCAGAATGTTGATGATCTAAAACAGTTTCATGTAGACCTAATTTGAAACGTTGCTTTCCATGTGAATAAGAAATACAACATGAAAGAATAATTGATATATTATTTGAAAATCAATTTACAAAAAAACATTAGTAGTAGTATAAATATACATAAATAAATAAATAAATAATAAAAATCAAATCTTCACAGTCTACAATATTTAGTGTTCAACAATATCAAACTAAAGTAGAATGAACACTATTTATGTAATAGATGATCAATTTACTCTAACCTTAACCAATGTAACACAGTTATCTTCTAGGTATTGATTACAAATCATTCATTTACAGTTTGATTAAAACTGATAAGTAACCATGTTCTGCATGAACGACTAATTTACACATTATCTTCATGAGAAGTGGATAATGCATAAACATGAATAGGTATATACAACTGTTATATTTCACAGTGAGTATAACACAAGTTAGTTACATTATAGTGAACGAGGACGTCTGTGGGCAAAATCAACTTTTTACTCAATGCAAAATTATTGATTTCCTTCATAAAATATGAAAACCATAAAATAAATATATATATTAGTTGTACATATTCCTTCAGTTATCCTTTGAATGCTTCATGATTCTTTCCATTCTGTTGTCATTCTAATTGTTCTCTTCAATTCAGCCATTTGTTGGTAGATATTTCACTTTTGGTTGGTACCACATACTACTTATACTTGTCAGCATAAGTAGTATACACCACAACACAATTAAAATATAACATGGTAAGTGAAAAATACATTTTTTCCATTATCAGCTAATTATTAATAACTTTTGTCTGCTTTTTTCTTAGAATAATTGAAGGATAAATTCAAGCAGATCTCTTCAAAATATAACTTGGTATAACTTTATTTTGTATTTTTTGTTTAGAATACATTTGGGAGTATGAAGTACTTATATTATTTGAAGTGTACAATGTAATGAATATCAAATTTGTAATCAAATATAATTTGATATGGGATCATGAATCGATGAATGTTAAACTATCATTGAAAACCTGGAAGAACTGGACAGTGGTTTCGTCCTACTGTGGGACTCCACAGCGATGCGCATCCAACCAGGAACTTAACAATCTTCACAACTCCATACTGATAATTTGATATACTGACTTTGCACTATTGAAATAGCCAAAGAATAAATTAGACTTTGTATTCCATTCATTTATATTTTATGAATTATGTATTCACTTAGCTAAGAGTTTATAGATAATTTCTTTCTGAATTCAGTGAAAGAAAAACGTTTACTTATTTACTTGAACACATAAATATTGGTACAAAGAGACATCGAATACATATACGCCACACAAGCCACTTGGTTTGTCTGCGGGCTACGATAATACCCGGGTGCCCAGACCAAAGCAGGTGGTTTTCTTAGGGGGCCACATCCGGAGCGTTTGACTTAAAAGTCTAATCCACAAGGCAGTGGAGCGACGTCAGGAGGTTCAATCCCATGTTAGCCGGTGACCAACAATTGGTTTATACAACATTTATCCCTTCAGCATACTGGAATCAGGGATTTCCAACTCCTTTAGGTGCACTGTCCCTGTCCACCAACCCGTTTAAAGCGCCGGACATTCTCTTTTCTTCCTCTCAATATCGTAAACATCAGTAATGCAGCGGGAGGGCAGTGAGTAGGAATTCCCTGGGAGTGGTTGTATGCACTTGGCCATGTGGAAGCATTTGGGGAGGGAAAGTTGACTCTCCCCACCCTCGGCCGTTTCAAGGCATTTGAGGGCAAATGTAAGAAATTATTTGAATAATTAGAATATTTTGCGAACTTCCAAAAAAATAAGTACATAATGTTTATTTGATTATAATTCTAAAATAGTGAAATTCAAATTCATTTTTGTATTGTATGTAAGAGACTGATCAATCGCAGTATTGAATACCACTGATAAGACTCAAAAAAACAATACGAAAATGAATGAAAACTTCACCCTATTGCACAAGCTAGCGGCTATGTGGGCTCAGTAGCTAAGTGGATAATGCGGAGGAGTTGGAAGCAAACGATACTGGCTTCGAGTACCGGGGTGAACATCAATTCTGGGATGCAGGTATATCCAACTGACGAGTCCCAAAAAGGACGAAACGCGCGTCTCGGATTCTACTGCTAGCCACAATCCATGATTGCTTATAATACCAGAATTTGTTAAAAAACAATCTTATCAATACTTGTGCTATTTGTGCATAATTTAATCTTCACAGTACAGCTTTCTCTATACGTTCCGCCTTTTATTTTTTGTTCAAATCTCAAGAACCGACGACTTTAAAAGGATAGATAGTTAGTGCTCAAAGCGTTCTCAAGAAGAAAAGTATCAGTCTCCTAATCTTCCACTTTGTGACACATATCAGATGTGAGGAGCCAGTGTTATCATATAATTACACAAATCAAAGTACCTGTTACCTATAAGATGTAGGTGACTATTAATTTAGTCATTATAGCAGGACATTTAAGTCTTCATAAACAAATGTAAACAATAATCATTGTATCCAATACCTAATACTTAGGTCTTCGTTATCTAATACACGTCACTTAAAAACAACCCATACACAAGTGTTTTTGTGTTACAAACTGCTTTTGATGCCCAGTTGGGTTGAATATTTTGTGTCTACTTAATATTGCAAATTCTATTTCACATATGACTTATGTAATCCTTTGTTTAACCATTCTACTGAATACTCCAGAATACAATGAAAACTTGTCTCGATAAACAACCTACAAATCATGATCCACCAGAACAAGCAAACACAAGACACTAAGTCGCAGATTTATTAATTTGACATTATTAACACAGATTTTTATACATATTCAGAGAAAATGGTCCATTCATCAATTATCTTATTCTTACCTTTGAAAAATTAGTTGTATTCACTGGAACGCGTCGATTATTTACATGATTTACACCTGAATTATTGTTATTATTATTATGATCATTGATTCCAAAACATTCATTTAAATTTGATGATACTGTATATGGATCTAATAAAGCGGAATTAGTTGATGATGACGATTGAGATGCAGCCATAACAACAGCTACAGCTGCCGCTGCTGCTGCAAACCACGGTGTAGTAGTTGTTGATGTTGGTTCAGTCTCAGTTAATCCAGTTATATCAACAACATTACGTCCACCATTGAGAAATCCTAAAGAATTTGAACCTAAATAATTATTGGCATTCTGATTATTATTATTATTTGAACTTATTAGTTGATTATTAGTTGGTTCATTTGGTAAACTCCGACTAGATTTAATATACCGTTGTTTTGGTAACCATACTTGATTATTATTATTGTTATTGTTATTATTATCACTAACATCAGCAGATAATTGATTATTGAAGTCAGAATAGTCTGATATCACAGATGATCGTGGACATGACGTAGTAGTTAATGTCGATGATAATGTTGGTGATGATGATAATGAGGATGAAAGATAAGACAATGAATAGGATTCATCGGGTAAGTGTCTTCCAGTTGTTAAATTTAATTGTGTAGGTCGTAAATAGGATTGATTTAAATGAGTAGTAACCGTATGAGAATCTTTTGATTGAGTTTCAACAATAATTGATGATCTATCCATTAATGGATAACTAGCAAAAAATAAATAAATAAACATATATTATTTTTAATGGATTATTAAAAGTATAACCATAAATAAAGAGAGCCTTGAAGTTCAGGAGCGTAATTTAATCTGTTTCGGTTTGGACAGTATCCCAGCCCTCACACAAATCGAATGATTTATGTGGCGCATATCTATTTGGTGCTTCCTTGCACCAATGTTTATATGTTTAAATAAATTTTAAATAAATCCATAATAAATGCCCTGCTACGACTGAGGGTGGGGAGAGTTAACTCTCACATGGCCACGTGCATACAACCACTGCCGAGGAAGTCCTACTCACTGCCCTCTCGCTTCATTACTGATGTTTACGAAATTGAGAGGAAGAAAAGAGAATGTCCGGCGCTTTAACCGGGTTGGTGGATATAGAGGCTCCACCTAGGTGAGTTGGAAAACACTGGTTCCAAACCAACGATGCACATAAGCTCCAGGATCCTAAGGAAACAAATGGCGTATGAATCTACTGTTGGTCACCGGCTAACATGGGATTGAATCTCTTGACGTTGCTTCACTGCATTGTGGAAGGTTGAAGTCTCCGCGTGTACCCTCTAAAAAAACCACTTGCTTCGATCTAGACACCCAGGCAGTATCCCATCTCTCACATTAATCGAATGATTTATGTAGTGCATATATATTCGGTGCCCCTTTGCACCAATATTTATGTGTTCAAATAAAATAAATAATATTCAAGAATAAATTCTTAAATGAGAACATCCGAAATGTTTACTAACATGGGAAAGAAAAGTTACAATTTAAATAATAAACTAATGTTATCAGATTATATAAAAACGGGATATTTTAAATATTCTTATCGAATTAATCACTGAAAAAGTTCAACACATACAAATCAACCAGTCATAGTTACAATGCAAAATTGTAACATGAATAACAATCAGACAAACAAACAACCTACTTGGTGTTGTTTTACTTGTATCTTCCCATTGTTATTTAGGATTACAATTAATCAGTCTCTTATTGGCATATGTGCATCCTGTGCAGATTACCTCGATATAACCTTAAGTCACAAACATTTTAAACAAAGATAGCAGGTGGCTAGCAATGGAATTCAGAACTCGCGTTGCAGATAAATCCAGTTGACGAGTCCCAAATAGGTTGAAACACGCGTCCTAGATTCCACTGCTAACCACTATTCATCTTTGATTACACAAGCAACCATTTGCAATCTACTTTTTATAATCTATGCACCACATATATACATATATCACATGATAAAGCAATAATGTTAGCGAAATAATAGAAAAAATAATGTGATTATTTTCTTATAATTACATAATCATGTAACATGAAATTAATACAATTCATGTAATGACATGTGACAATTGTATCACATTTTACTTTTTTGAGTTGCCTTAGTAGTCTGACGTAAAAAAACCAAAAAAAATTATTTTTTTTGATATTGCAATAAAAAAAGGATACTTTTAACAGTAAAATTAAATATTTTAAAAGTTAATTCTAGACAGATATTTCTATACATACTTTACATACTTTATATGTCATAGTATACTATTCTATCATATACGAAAATGCACATTATATCTAATATATACATGTAGCGAAACTACATTCTTAGACACATAGATACCTACCACTTTATCATATTCACAAAAACAAATGATATTATAACTAATACAATAGTTCAATACACAACCTCAATTAATTAATTCACTAATTAATTAAATTATATACTGGAAATAATTACAGAATTCATACCAATTTACAGGCATAATCAACTAGATATAGTTAATAAAAGGATTAGAACATTTTGTTGAACTAACTGTTATTAAGTTCATATAACAACTAAGAATATAACATTTTGGGAGAGAAAATTAGAGTTCATGGATTTGTAGGTCATATATATATATATATATATATATATATATATATATATATATATATATATATATCCGCGATTCCGATCGCGGGATTCGAACCCAGGGCCTTCGGTCTCGTGCACGAACGTTTAACCTACTGGACCACTGAGCCGTCATCCAATAGTCGTCCAGCGCTTCCAGGTTTCCAACGGTGGTCTAACATCAATCGGTTTATGATCTCAATCAAAAACTTAATAATCTCCACACATCCTATACTGATAATTAACATGTGTGCTCACAAGTGACTAGCTTCGTGAGAAAATTCTCAGAGTTCTGGTGAGAGGCCGTGACCAGTGGAGAGACAGGTATCTGCCTCAGTACAATGAAAGATGGTAGCGCGATTTTGAGGATTGGTTGATGTTAGACACTAACATCACTGAATTCCGGCTCAGTGGTCCAGTAGGGTAAGAGTTCGCGGATGAGACTGAAGGTCCTGGATTCGAATCATGCTACCGGGATCGTGGATGAGCACTGCTGAGGAGTCCCAAAATAGGACGAAATGGTCGTCCAATGCTTTCAGGTGTCCAATGTTGGTCTAACACCGATCGGTTTATGATCTCAGTCATTCTTTTACTTAGCTAATGGGTGAGTGCTGCATATAATAGTATGATTTTGACTGAGAATTTCAGTTCAACCTATAAAGTTCACTTAATTTTTTTTCATCCAACAATTTGCAATATCCAACATGTTTAGATAAATTTAGATGCTTGAAATAAAATCGCTACTGATAATTACGATCTTATATGTACCGATCACCCAATAAACGAGGAAACATACTACAAAGTGCTTAATACCCCATATTTAATATTGAAGAAGGATGGATAATCTCATAGTGTTTGTGAAAAAAACATTCCTCTTCTTAAAAATAACCAACCAGGCAATGTCCTGCTACTATGTATACAAAGTAATTTTAATCAAGGAATATAAAAATATTGAAAAATCCAATTTGCAATTAGCATGTATAGATTCAACTGACCAGTTTTCTTAGTTGCACATTTTTAAATAAATTAGTGAATTTAACAAAAGACTCAAATGAAATTAATATGAAATAGAGTTCAAACCCGGAATATTACACATTAAAATCGGATGTTTCTCTAGTAAGTCCTTAATCCAAACAACTTTTAATCATATTTATTATTTTTAGGTTTTATATTTGTATAAACTCAGAAGGAACAATTTCATCCCTATGTATGGTAACTTGTACCGATGTACACACGTGCCATGTTCTACGTCGGGCTTAATTGACTAATTAATTGATGAAAACAGGATTACTTATTAAACTAAAATCAAGCTATAGTCTCTTAATAATCCGAATTATAAATGAAGATTACATCGGTTGACTATTTCCTATTAGTTCACAGCTACGACATTAATTCATCATCGAAATATTGTCATACAGATATTTAGTGAGTGGAAACCTACATATATGTTTCGTCTTAGTCCACATTGATCAGTTAGTGAAACTATAATCCTGAAAGCTTTAATGTTCTGCATAAAATTTAAATCAATGTGATTCAATGTTACATTTAGAAAATTTACCACTGAGCTATTCATTCCCACGACCAGTGGACTGACTAACTTATGTAGGACTGTGATTTTTACACTGACATGGATGTATGAATAATACCCGATATTATAACTGGATAGAATTTTATTGATCAAGTTGTTTACTTTTTCATATACAGTGTTCTACGTGATAGAAAAAAGAAGGTAAGTGAATTTGACAATTATTATGCTCACCTACCTGAGGTTGTTCAAACCGAAGTAGGTGTAGTAATAAGAGAGTCTGGACTTACCACCCTTATTGGTTGAAAGTTACATGGTTTAAGGAATTAACCTTTTCTCATTTCCCATGAAATAATGACCTGTGAAAATTTCAATTAGAAGCTCATGTCTTTATAATTCACCCAAACCTTTCGACTTATGCGGAACTATGAAATATCAATTTTAATGAATTTTGCCAATAATTCAAAAGGAAATAAGATGCACACGATACATTTGTAAGGTATCACCAATACAAGTACTAATCAATAATCAATATTTGTTACCTTATAATCACATGTAATTCAATATTAAGTTAAATGTTACAAGAGAAATGACCTTCAAATAATAAAGTACGTCAATTCAACGAACAAACACATTAATTACATAACCTTGTCAAAATAAAGATCGGTCATCATCATTACAAAAAAAATATCACATGATCGTGATAACAGAAACTGACAAGAAATTAATGTAATCTGGTTACATGATTTATACCTAGTATCTTTAAGAGTTAATGGCACTATCTTCAGGTTATCTATAAAAAAATAGTAGCTGAGTTCAGGAATTCAGTAGACTTATTAATAGTATAACATTAAATTATCAGTTGGAAACACAAAACAACAACAAACAAACCATCTGTATACTGCAAACATTTTTAAACCAGAATACACAAGAATAGATAGAGCAATTACAAAACTCACTTTCTAAATTGTAATTGTTCAAGTACAGTGGAACAATCATTATTATTATTATCATTATTATTAGTGTTGATATTTTGTTCATTATCATTTGGCAAGTTAATTTGATTTGATAAATGCCTTGATTGATTAATAAATGAGAAATTATCCACTGATATGTTATGAATTTTCCCATTATCTACAAGTTTCTCATATCTACTATTAATTACACTACTATTATTATCATTACTATTACTTCTACAACTAGTACCAATATCCAAATCATCATTAACAGAACCGATAACATTATAGATATTCTCTTCATTCAAACTTGTCAAGTCCGCATTACGACGGTGTTGTTGTTGGTGGTGACGATGATGTACAGCTTGGTGTACAGGATGATGATATTGTTGTTGATGTCTATGACTGCAACGTTGGTTTAAATGTTCATTACCATTAGAACCACTAGCAGAACTGCCATTTCCAACACCTTCAACGTTGTCATTAACATCATCAATATAATCATGATCGCAGCCTTCATCATCAATGTCATCATCATCATGTATGTGTACTGAGTTAATAGGTGTTAATTTTGAAGATGTAATACTATTATCAGAGATCTCTAAGTTAACATCTATTTCAGACGGTATTGTTTTACGTCGTTTAGTAATATTTCTTGAAGGATCAATTAAAAGATAGTCATTACCATGACTAGCACCATTGGAAGTAGAAGAAGGTAAAACAGAATCCCCAAGGCCAGAGAGAAGGACAACACCATTAGCAATATTATTATTGCTACCACTCATACCAATATTATTGCTATTAAAACAATTATTCTGAGAAATAGATGTTTGTGCAGGATGATGAGGCGGCGGTGGTGGCGGAGGATGATGATGAAAAGGACGTGACTGAGAATTAAGATACTGTGCACGTGTATCTGTCTTATACTTCATATGACTTTTAATCCCTGACGATGGTGATGTAGATGAAGACGGTGATAAAGATAATAAAGATCCATTTTTCACCGAATCACCACTATTTTGTAACTCGTTATAATTATGATTACTATGTTCAATGAAAGGATTTACTGTAGATGTTGATGTTAAAGGAATACTTGATGGAACTAAAGATACTCCAGTTGTTGATATTATTGTTGTTTTCGCTGTTGTTGTTGTTGTTGTTGCTATGGAGACGGTGGTCGTATTGGCGATAGTAGTGTTATTAACTGAATCCAAATGACCAAGATTAGACATCATACGTTTAAATGAAGGCCAACTAGATGATGGATAATTTGATTGACCTAATACTGATCTACAATGTTCTTCAGCAATTGACAATAAATCATGTTCATTAAGATTATTATTCTTACTACTGTTATGATTATTATCATCATGATTAGTAGTAATATTATTATTCTTATTACCATTATTACTGATGTTACAACTTAGATTTGTAGTACCACTACTAGTACTACTATGGCTAATTGAATTACGTCGGTTAGATTCATGTTTATTTGATGAACTTGAAGATGGATTCATAGTTGTGGTTGCTTCACAATCATTGGAATTAGTTAATTGGGAAATTTCTCGAGCACAATAATATTTAATTGCATTAGGTTGTCGACCAATACGACTTCCTGTAATTAAGAAATAATACAGGAAAATCTAGTCACTGAAACAATTAACATATTCAGCGTAAATAAATAGGGGAATAGAATGAAATACATTTGTAGGTGATATTCGCCACGAATTAACATCAGTTTTGGATAACCATGGGGACCGAAACTACAAAAAAACCCATAACAAAAATAATATAGTGTGTTTGCTAATGACTTGCTTCAGGGATGTAGGTGAAAATTCGTGACTAATGGAGTGTAAACATTACAATATTGAAAGATGGTTATGGAATATCACAGGATGGTTAAAGTTAGAAATGTAAATTGTTTGATGCCAACTCAATGGTCTAAAGGTTGAATATTTGTCTTGACACTTGAAGATCCTGGGTTAGACCGCTAGCGAAATCGCAGTTTGCACCGCTGAGGGGTTCCATACAAGAGCAGAACAACTACCGAATACTTCATGATATTCATTGCCTGCCTTATCTACGGTCAGTCCGTAATATAAACCACAAAATAATTCAAAGATTGGTTACTCATTCAAAATCCCGTCTATGCAGTACACAAAATAAAATCGAATAATTCAATTATACACCTATTACTAAGTTGGTTCACTGTTCAACATATTTTCTATTATAACCTTGTTGTTTACTATAACAATGGACTACAAAAAAGCCAATATGTGCATTGAATAATGATCAAGTATCAGAACACGTAAATAACAATAAGAGTTAATAAGAACTTAAAAGACTGTCCGATAACCCGACCGTTATTGATTGACTTAGTTAAAAGTTCCAATAACAATAATAATAATAATAATAATAATAATAATAATGATAATGTTATTATTATTATTATTAATAACAAACTTTATTTGATTCCTTTATTAGGAATACATGAGGGTTAGAATACAAAAATAAAACAACATCAATACTACTTACTACTCTACTACTACTACTACTATTACTACTACTACTACTACTACTACTACTACTACTAATAATAATAATAATAATAATAATAATAATAATAATAATAATAAAAGAATGTAAACTAACGTAAGAATGCCAAAATGTGCGTGTAAGTAAGCATGTATGCGTCAAATTTACTAAGTGTGTTTGTATTTCACAATGAATTATATGTAAATATACGTTGTAATATACTTTGAAATTATTAACCTCAATAAAAAACAGTCATAATATCAACCAACATACACAAAAGTTTCCATATTCTAGTTTCAAAACACATAATACTCGGTCAAGGTCAGTTTTAAAATAAGTAATTCACAAATGTTCCATTGAAATGAAGAGAAGAAAAAAGTAAACACAATAAACGAAAAAAAATAAATAAGAAAAACAGTTCAGAACAAAACACCTAGAAATGTGATATTCTTAAGACATAAAGTTTGAAATTACTATTGAAGATATCTGTGAAAATCCATTTACTGAATTGAAAGAGAAGGAATTATAATAACTCAAGATTATAGATAACAAGGTAGTCCTAGTAGGATACATAAATAGCAGTAGTACATTGATTTGGTTCATGATGAAATTGTTAACTTTGTTGACGATATACATTAACTTGAAGATAGTAAAAGAAGAAATTCATTTACCAAAAAGCATGAGCTAATGGCTATCTGAGGTTAGTAGCTAAGTGGATAACGCGATGGTGTTTGAAGCTCAGTGAATATCAACGTTGGGATGAAAGTACATCCAACCGATGAGTTACAAATAAGACGAATCGTGTGTTCTAGATTCCATTGTTAACTACCATCCATCTTTGCTGAGAATGTTTGTGACTTAAGGCAATATCTATGCAATCAGCACAGGATGCATATATGCCAATAAGAGACTGATCAATTGCAGTGCTAAACATCAATAGGAGGATTCAAACAAACAATACAAGAATGAATTTGAGTAACACTATCTATTTGTGATGGCTGCTAATACCGAACTTGATAGGGCAAGCTTTTGGTTGAAATCCAAGAGTTTAAACCACTACGATATTGATTTAACAAAAATAAGCAAAAGTCAAACCATGTTAGCTATTATTCAACCTTTATTTTTGACCCTGACTAATTCCTTATCAATTGATAGGTAATTCATAAAACATTCTATATATTAAAGAAAATTATTATTCCATTAGTTGGTCAATGATTTTTGTTTCCTGAAACCTCAGTCAATTAGTTATCAGTTATACTGAGCAACTCGAGTCAATTTTGTTTGTGAATATACTGGAAGGGTTGGACAATACAAGTCATTTACGAAGTACGAGCTTATGTACTAGGCTTTAAACTATGATACCTGTATGTGACAAACAGTGATACTAACTGGTTGATCAAAAATAAGGTGTAGCGGGCTTTAAATTAGTGATTTATTGATCACGTGTTTTAATTGTTAAACCATTGATTTACATTACAATTTATAATACTAAGAAAGTGTATAGGAAGTGAAATCAATCTTTTATAGACAAAATCTAGATCTTTGAAAATTTTAAGATTATAATATTGGTCAGAATTAAGAATTATAGTTCATTCAATAAAACTTTCCATTTTGAAACGTCCAATAAACAGTCCAAAATTATTCAATAAACTTCGATCTCCAATAACTAGTTACTATTGAAAGATAAGTCAAGAAAAAGTTTCAGCTTAAATCCTATTGTTATTATTACATAAATCCCCACAATATCAGCCTCATAGTAAACAATGAAGCATTAACCTCATTATAATGGTCAATCAGTTAAAAAAAAGGGATACAGGTAATCTAGTTCAATTTAGATACTAACAATTATTAATTATTCCAAGTAAATTTCAATAGTTCAGTTATAAATGACAGCTGAAAGATGAAATCGAAGTGAGGATCGGAGTTAGACAAGGTTGCTAATTCTCCTCCTTTCTTTTCTGGTGGTTGACTGGATTATGAAGACTTTCACATCTGACGGGAAGCACAGAATACAATAGACAGCTTAGATGCAACTAGACGATTTGAACTTTGTAAACGATCTAGCCTTTCTCTCCCATACACACAAACAAATACAGGTCAAGACAAACAGGTGTGACAGAAGCCTCTGCATGAGTAGGCTTCAACATACACAAGGGAAAAGCATGATCTTCAGCTACAACACGAAGAACACCAACCCAATCACACTTGATGGAGAAACTCCAAATTGGGTGGAAACTTTTAAATACCTGAAGCAAAACGGAAAATAGGAAGACCGAGGGACACATTGCATTGAGGATTGGAAACAAACATGAAAATAATGAAACGTAATCGGAAGCAACTGGAAAGGATTGTCCAGGACAAAGTTCGATAGAGTATGCTGGTGAACTCCGGAAATTCCCTTTAAAAGTATGTAACTAATGATCACCTGATAATTAACAATAAGATGGCTTATAAAGATTACTGAATTTTGTTGAGATCATAAAAAGGCTTTCTGAATCCCCATTGCTGAGGATTCTCATACTATGACGAAACAGCTATTCAATGGTTGTCTCGCCTAGGTCAGTTTACGATATAAAAAATTAAATAAATAAGTTAAAAGACAAATGAATACAACAATCGAAATGAGAGCCCTAGATAATGTTTATACAGGTAATTTCATATGAATATTATTTGCACTGTGACATTTTGTTCTGCTTCATTATATACCAATAAATTAGGTTGTACCAACACACACATTATGAAATAGAGCAAGATTTCTATGGTGATTTGTCAATAAATATAACACATCGGTAGATTATAAGTGCTGCCTGACATCCATAATATAACGCAAAATTATTATCATGGTGGGTGACGTATGCTTTTCCAAGGGGAGTAACAGGCGTAAGTAAGTAAGTAAGCATGATAACGATAGATAATGTAATATGATTTAAGATACAAACATCTCAGAACACACACAGAGAGAGAGGGAGGAAGAAACAGCATAAAAATGTACATGATATATAAAGTTGTCTATTGAATAATTTACTAAGGACCAAGCGTAATAATGTTATTTAACAGTGACTAACCAGTAAATGTAATGATACAGTACTGTACTGAAATTTGCCGAAGCGATAGCAATCAAACGTCTAAAACTAGATCTATGTATACAAAAAGAAACAGTAATAGATCTTTCTTTGCCATGGTAACATTGCCCCCCTTATTTATTTATCCATTTATGACGTCATTCACTATTCCAACTCTTTCTGAATTTTTGAAATTACATAATTTATAACTGACCGATTTCAATTCATATCCTTCTTTATTACCATTAATCTATTTTCAGTTTCTTCATCACATAATCATCTGTGTTCTTAATTCCATTAGTTCTAATCACTATTTCAATGTTCTGGAACCTTCTCTCCCAAACTTAATTTATTCGAAACAAAATTTTATGACCTCATTAGCTTTATCGGAATCTTCGCTACACCATGATATATATATGTATCCTTAACCACCCTCTTATGTATAAGTATGTCAATAACTGTAATAACGCTGATTTTCAAATATTTTAGGTTGTAATAGCTGATGAGAACCTAACGAAATAAAATGAATTTATATTATTCTGCACCAATCTTTGTTCTTGCTCTCCATCTATTACGGTTTGAACAACAAAGTACCATCCACTAGCCTTCATACTTGAAAGGTGACTGAAAGTTACTGATACAAATCTAAAAACATCTAGCTCTTAACACACAGACATACGCTCCAACAGAAAAAAAACGGAAATTCATCAGATTCAATACATAATAAACTGTTCCATTGTCGCATATTGTTTTAAAATTTCATATTAAAACAAAACATGTTTTTACTACTTATTTTTTTAGTTTTCAATGGTTCTTCAAACAAACAAACAAAAAATGGAGACAGAAAAGAATGAAAAATGAAACTACAGACATACTACTACAATTCGATCAATGACACTTCAATATAATATACATAATATGTAATCTTATGTATATATATTGAGAAATGAAAAGACTACACACATAGTTTTTTCCCCTCAAATGTATAGTCTTATATATACCCACCAAATAGTCAGTCGTTCAAGCCATCTTTATTTGTGTTTATTCCCACATGTTTGTATAACATGGTTTAAATTGTTGACGGCATATGTTTTTAAGACAATATAATAATTGATGAATGATACAACTAGTAGAATAAAAGCGAAGATAAAAAAAGAGAGAATAAACTACCCGACATAAAAGTCTACACTTCGAAATCTATGTACTTATATATACAATAACCTCTTTTTTTCTTCTCTATTCTATAAGAGAATATATATATATATATATATATATATATATATATATATATATATATATATTTGTAACAAATAAGAGTTCTCATTTTATTCTGTTACATAAAAAACATTCAGTGTAACAAAATTTATTTGAAAAAATGTTATCTTCTATACGATTTACTTGTGTTAAACGTAATATTGTGCTGGAAAAAGCTGATATTACAGTCTACAAACTGTAAAACTGAAACAGTTAATAAATATGACTTGGCAACTAAAAATTTAGTTCGAGTGTAACCTTTTAGAAGGGTAAACTAGTTTATTTAGATTTGAGGCATTAGTATTCTATGACGATACAGCTGACGAGCAGCGGAAGCCAACTAGGATGAAATCTTTCTATCGATTATATCGAATAAGCTTGCGTGCATTAACAATAGTAGTTTATAATGACAGCTGATGAAACAAACTAGAAATTTAAATATAAGGAGGGATTATAATTTATGGTCTGTTAGTCAAGTAACAGAACCAGAAATAACGATGTCTATTGGTTTCAGTAATTTTGAATTCTCTTAGTTTCTCGTTTGATTGGAAGTAAGCAGTAATGATCTTATCCAGAATGATAACAAAAAGATATTTTCAGTGGGAAAAACAACCAACTGAGTTACAATACTTTCCAGTATTTAAGTTAGTAGTTGGAGGTATTGTCAATGAGGAACCCTGTACCTAGGTTTTGTGTTATTTGGCACTCATCAAAATAAGATGTATCTTTAATCTTGAGGGAACTGATGTTCCCTGACAGATCGGACCCCGTGTTACCCAACTCCACAGTCAGAGACGTTACCATAGAGCAATTCAAGACGCGACTGACCTCCTGCAGGACTGAGAAGTATTTGAAATTTGTTACAAGTACACCTGGTTGATGAGTGTCAAATGGTTTGAGACTTAGGTACAAGGTCTTCTGTTGATAATCTCCAATCCCTACCGTAACATCTCAACATAGTGCATGTGATTTCCAATCACTTAGTCTAATGAAAACTGCAATTCGATAGATAGAATTCAATCTGCATTAAGAAATTGAAATAAATGACATTGACTACTACTCAGTGATCAATCAATTGTAATCTTTTCAATATTTCAAAATCCGCATTATCGATTATGAAGAAGAGCAAAATATTTTTTTGTAAGAAAATTTTGAAGGATTATCATAAAGTAACATAATCCATACAATGTTACATTGTTCCTACAAGTTTATACATTAAAGTTAACGTGTAAATTGATTATCAAGTATAAGTTAATTTTATCAATTAATAGTCATATCATTTGTGAAAGGTCTAGAAATATTAATCAACTGCGTATACTTGACTATATATGGAGGATCACTTGAAAACACGAACTATTTACCTAAAATTTCACTACATAAGCCATTGTTTAATTATAAAAGCCAGAAAATTAATCATAGAAACACTGTACTATCAAATTTAATTTCTTATGGTCTCAATTATCTTATTTTTTATTGGAATTTGATCACTTTTGGTTGGTGTATATGCATCCTGTGTAGATTACCTCAATATATCCATTTTTATACATGTTTGTATAGAACAAATAAAGAGAAGCTGGCAGTTGATGAGACCCAAGTAAGACGAAATGCACACTTTGAATTCCACTATTTACCACATTCCATCTATTCTACATATAATACAAGATGTTCAAAAGTAGGTAAGAGAGAAGATATTGTTCACAATCTGTTTTAAGTCTACCGATAATTACTTCAATTATTGACTTCAAATAAATGGTATTTCATACGTAATTTTCATTTTTTTCATTTGGTACAACAGCATGCCGTATATATATATATATAAAGCGTAATAATAACTAACCAGTTTTAGACATGCCAACTGCTAGACAACGTTGAAATCGACAACTTTTACACATATTTCGATTAGCTGGCGTAATTGGACAATCATTATTGCCAAGACATTCTAAACGAACATTGGATAAGACAGTTCGTCGAAAGAAACCCTAAAAATAAGAAAAATGTATTAGAAAAGTGGAAATTTATATTAATGGAATAATATTGAATGACTAAATGAAAATGTATTAAAACAAACCTAATGAAGTTTATGATTCTTATGCAAAGACAGGTATTAGACAACATCACTATTAAGTATGTAGAAATTCATATCAAATCGTTCACTTATGCAGAGGAATATAAAAAAAGGAAATGAGAGCTGAATTCAAGTATGTAAACCATTGGATTACAAATCACTAGTCTTAAACTTAAGCATTCGTCACGAAACCTGAAGGTCACAGGTTGTATCCGCGATAAGGTTGTGAATGTGAATCGTTGAGAAGTTTCATGCTAAGATGAAACAGGTATCAAGTGCTTTTTCATTCTCAATGATTGCATTACTAGGATCAATCTGTGATTCAAGCTACAAAAATGAGGACAATTAAAATTATGAATGTTGGATTTAGTTTATACAATGATAAATTTTAATTCAACCTATATTCGTTCACCTTTAAGCGAAAGAAATAAAAGCCAATTCAATTACCTTATATAGACTACTGTATATAAATACAGAAAATTTGTATTTGAACATTTCACACTCATTTGATGTTAGATAACTAGAAACAAATGGTAAAAACTTCCTGAATCTATACTTTATACTAGTAGGTATTTATTGGCAAAATATACCAGTAACTATTGAAAAAATGTATACCATAGAGGAATCCCGAACTGATATCAAACTGTGTGACAGTTAAAAAAACATTACCGTTAAACAGAAGCGATGGCTCAGTTGTTAATGCATCTGACCTTCAGCCACTACCTCAGGTTCGAACCCTGCTCGACCAACTTCTGTTGGACTGAGAGATTTGAAATCACGATGTATTTTGTTTGATGATTAGAGGTAAATCATGAAATTATTAATTATTAGAATTTGTCCAATAGTAGAAATTCCACAGCATAATATTTCTCTCATTAATATCTCATATTTTTTAAGAAAAAAACTCAACTGCACTTATCAATAATGAACATGACGGCAGGTAATAGCATATACTAAAGCTGTTAGTCTCCAGGTAACTTACTATAAATATTTTTAAAAGGAAAACATCTAAAACAATGGTACATATATAGAGTTGGAAAATTATGTATCATGCGGCAAAATACAAATTGGTTATATTTGACTTGATCTTTTTTGTCTTAAAAATACTTTACTGGACATGATACTTCGATGAATGGTTTTAGACCTTACTTTTTTAAATATATGAAAGATTTTTACTAATGTCTACATAAACAGAAAAACTACCATTGCTACTATTAATGCTTTATAAATAGTAACAAATGCGCTAACACAACAACATCACTACCCATCACGCTGAATGACGTTGGAAGTGTGGATCACTGGATTCAAAACAAACAGTTTGGAGTTTAGACAGTTACCTTGAAACATGAAGGTGCTGTGTTGTACATTTGCTGGTTTTTTGAGTGTCCACTATCAAATAGTACTGAACTAGAAGAAATATAAACGAGTTGAGAATTGGAGGAAAGCTAAACATGAGAAATGAAAGTGTGATTTAAAATTGACAAGTATGAAAGTAGGAGAAGAAAGAGAAAGAAGGAATGAATCTCAGCTACTGTAACAAACCTTGAATTATGTTATGCAACACCTGATATACTCGATTAAAGTTATCGTATAAATTCGAAAGAATTAATCTGAAACTTCTGTAATTTTTTTCACACCAAAAGTCAATAACATTCACGGAATGAGACTGTCTTGATTTACTCATTCCTAGACTTTTTGATAACCTATTCAACATTACAATACCATGAATTATATATAGGCGTAAATAATAGTTAGACATGTGTACTACATGTCTAACGTTATGTAAATGTAGCTTACTTTTTCTTTTTAAATGAATAATGATCATTTATAATCCCGACCGTTGTTGCTACCTTGACGTGGTGGTCTGGTTTGCCTATCGTAATGGACAGGTCGGTTGAAGAGTGGTAAGAATGAAAACAGCAAACCCAAGGTCTGAGGGCAAAGTGGTCCTGCTGACTGTACAGAGGTTTGACAGCAGTAAAGTGTTTCCTTCAGACATCCAGCATAACAGCGATGCTGCCTTCCCACAAGGAGAGGTGGGGTTGGAAAAGATCGACCCTAAAGGTGCACATCTCGCCTTGTCCGATGGATATCCATCTCCGCTGGTAAGGTCTCAACAAGTACGGAGCTAACAGGAAAATTAACCACAAAATGGTCGTGTGTGACCAACCTCAAGCAGTTGTCTCTTGGGCACTGCGCTCACGCTCTCAGGTCACCATGACCACCTTTAATCCAATTTCATTTTCAGGTACCTCCAGAAAAATCCTTCCACAATGTGGGCAACCGGGAATCGGTAACCGCCCTCATACCTCTAACAGCACTCAAAACCACTAACTGACAATTTATCTAATAGTTGAACTCATGAGTCGATTGAAGCTAGATCACCATTGAAAACCTGGAAGCCTAAAACGGCCATTTCGTCCTAGTATCGGACTCCTCAGTAGTGGGCATCCACGATCGACTCATGAATTTAACTATTAAATTACTACAAACTCCACAAATCCCCTTTTTGATACAACTTTTTTGTTTGTTTTTCATTTCGAAACTCTAAATATTCTTTACTAAGTAACGAAACCAATCATGCAAAACGTAAATAGACAAAATAATTCTATTTAATCGTGCGTAAATTAAATAACCAAATCGATTAATTATTTTATAACGATTAAAATAAAAATAATTATATAAGTGAGATAAGAAAAAAAAAGAACATTTTCTGCTCAGGGATTATTGATGAAATTTTGTCAAGTTTGTGAATGTTCCGAGAACGATTAATGATATGTATCCGTTTCACTTCATGACCACTGCACTACACTACACTAATAACATTATTATTAAGTTTGAACATATTGATTAACTTAATTCTATTGCTTAAAATTTGAGAGGAAATTCGTATATCACACAAATATGACGTACAAATTATAGTAACTAGGTAACACGGATTTGAACCCCACAATTAATATTGTCTAACAGATCATTACAAAATATATCTTCATAGAGTCAATATCAATGAAAATTAGGCGAGAAGATTTCCTTTTTAAACGTCTATAATCACCTAACATTAAGAACAATGTTCATCGTGGTATGGAATCATTTAGATCTGTGAACATATACAATTATTCGATCGAGAGAAATCAATCACCATGGAGGATTAAACGACATAACATTATTTATTATAATTAAATTATGAATGAGTATAAATCCATCAGTTGTTTGGCTTGTGAATTAATTGATATATTCAGAAAAAATCTATATAAAAGAAAATACAGGTACACGAAAAATCATGTACATTGGAAATATAGGTGTTTTACTGAAAATATTCTCAAGAACTTAAGCCTCTGAGAAAATATTCCTCGTAGTTTGACAGTATGTCACTTGCTAGACACGGAACGTAAAGTGAATACAATTAATACATTCGAAGTAATTAACGAACAATCTAACTTTAAGCTACTATTGACATTTGTTGTAGCCATGACAATTAGAAGAATTCAATTTGACAGTTGTTTTTAAAAAAGCCAATGGTTATTCTTTATTTATCTTTGGTAACAAAGGGTGAAAGTAAACTTTAAGTCTAATTTTTTTTATATTTCCATTCCTTAGTAAAATTAGAATTCAATATATCTTTTTCGTATTTAACTTTCACGATTTTCGGGCTGAGTTCATACAGTAAAATTTCAATATTCAATAAATACACTATATCCATTTTCAGACATTTTCCCATCTATTTGTTGACAACAATGAGACATAAAAATGTAATTTAATAATTAAATTCAAGAGTCAATTAAAACTAGATCACCATGGAAAACCTAGAAGCACTGGACGGCCGTTTTATCTTGGTATGGGACTCCTCAGCAGTGCGCATCCACGATCCCACCCCGCGATATTCGAACTCTGGACCTATCAGTAATGTGATTTTTAGTTATTTTATTTTAAGCTCTCATTACTACTATATATAAGTGTCAATCTGACATGTTGGGATGAGCTACACTGAATTTGTTATGCTATGCGACGAATAGGTCTATTCATCAACTTATATTCACAAACATGTTAATTCACAGTTGTGTAGATTGGAATTTTCTTAAACATATTTCATTTAATTCTAGGAAATTTATTCGCTTATTTCAAACATATATGTATGGATTTATTTATTGCTTATGTTTAGTGACATAAGTAAGAGAATGTTGTGGTGATTCAGAAAATTTCTCGCAAAAGACAAGCAAGGATCAGGAAACACTAAGAAGCATTTCATCCAATCAGCGTTCACTTGGAGTTTTAGCCAGAAACATCAAGGAAGTGAAACGTCACATGCAGAGGTTCGGATTGACTGATTGTTATACTGCTACTATGTTTAGTAGCATCCCAGAATCTTCAAGCAACCCAAATACATTTAAAATATTATAAAAAGCCTATATTTTCTGTATTAAAATGAACCTTGGAGTAAAGTACTTTCGTATACTTTTCGCCTTCTCTCGTGTTCAGGTGGCTGTATAGTTCCAGCTTGAGGGTTTCAAGAATAGCTTGGGAACCGAGTATAGCGTTCAAATTACAAGACTTATCAGAAAAATATTGCATTAAACATATAATAAGCATGCACCAATCGAATCACACTTGACGGAGAAGATTTGGAAGATGTAAAAACCTTTACATATCTGGACAGCATCATCGATGAACACGGTTGATCTGATGCAGATGTGAAGGCGCGGATCGGCTAAGCAAGTGCAGCATATTTACAATTGAAGAACATCTGGGATTCAAAACAACTGTCAACCAACACCAATGTCAGAATTTTCAATACAAATGTCAAGACAGTTCTACTGTATAGGGTGGAAACCTGGAGAACTACGAAAGCCATCATCCAGAAGATACAAGTGTTTATTAATAGTTGTCGACTCAAAATACCTCGGATCCGTTTGGCAGACACTATCAGCAACAACCTACTGTGGGAGAGAACAAACCAGATTCCGGTGGAAGAAGAAATCAGGAAGAATCGCTGGAAGTGGATAAGACACAAATTGAGGAGAGCACCCAACTGCGTCACAGCGCAAGTCCTTACATGGAATCCTCTAGGCCGAAGGATTTCAGCCTGAATTCATTTATCCATACGACTAAGTAACATTTTGTTATGATAGCTTGTGTCAGTTGGTGATGAAAACCTTAATTCCAATTCTTAACCCTAATGTTCAACAGTAATTCTAACCTTAATTCCTCGCATTAATTTATAACCTTCATTTAGACCTAGTGTTAAATTGAATCCCCCTAAAATCACTTTAGCGTCACTAATAGGTCACCCATAAAATATGGTCCCATCTTACTGATGCATTTCATCAATTCCAAAGCATATTAATAATTCAAAACACTTCATCTTATTATTTGGTACGTAAGTCAAAAAATACAATGAAATACCCAATGAAATGCAATGTATTGTGATTGTTTAGCTTAAACAATTGATCATGACACTCTTGAATCTCATTGGACAATTATAATAATCGTTATTTGTTCCAACCTCAGATCCGGACTCATTATCTATACAAGGTCATGATATTTATCAGTTCAATCTTAACAAATTCATTCATAACGAAAGTACATGTAACCACGATAATTTACGTGGAAAAAATCTTCCGCCTGGGTCAAGGTTATGTCAATTATCTAGTCTCTTTGTCTATCAGAACAATGAAAATCTACTCCACATTTTTCACAATGAGTTCATCTATTGACCCAGATAATAAGACAAATTAATGATAAACAACGACTATAAAACATTTAACGACATACACAAACATATAAACACACTTAGGTACAGTTAAATCATAAAAAGGTCATCATTAAAACACAAAGGTCATGTTTTTGCACTAGAAACGACCTTAAGAAAAAACCATTAGTACATAAAGGATAAACATATAGTGTTTTCCATGGTGGTCTAGCTTCAATGGATTCATGATTTCAACCAGTGAGATATAGTGTAAAAGTTCATTTAATGGGAAACTGAATGTTATAGTTAACATCAAGTAACGATTATCATTAAACAATAACTTATAACCAGGAAATACACGACAGCTGTTTCATTCCTGTACGAGACTACCCGGAAGAGTAAATTGATGAACTTGAAGACTTATGGAAGATGTGTAACCTTTAGACCGCTCAGCCGACATTCGATGGTTTAAATAAATAACTTCAAATAATTCATCTAACTGATCAGCCATCTTCCAATATCCTTTGTGGGTGAAACATTCCATTTTAACTATAATTACTGAGTAAAATATTACCCAAACTATTTCAAATAACAGTCATAATAATAAAAATAGTAACAGTAATAATAGTATTCAAAAGAAATCAATACTCACCTTGCAGCCTTCACATGTTAATGCACCAAAATGAAAACCGGAAGATGGACCACTGCATACACGACACGGTATTTGGGAAATATCACAGCCAGCTTCACCACCGGGAGCTGTAAATAATATCATAGAGTAAAATTAGAAAAGAAAAACAAAAGGGTAAGGTCTCTGAAACAGAAAAGAACATTGATAACGATTTCATTATCGAAATAAAAGAACTCATAACTGTTGATGTTAAGTCATAACTATTAAGTTAGATTGTAATACAGAACAAATATATTAATCAAATATAACCTTTGAAATCTGACTTTAAGTTATACTTCCATGAGAAAGACTAGTATTATAAGACGAATAAAACTATAGTATAATGCTTTCATATCGTTTAACGTGAGAGTGACCAATATAACTCTATTGCGCAACAATATAATATAACATAATCCAAAGTTTCATGGACTCCTAATAAGGTGAATTAATAATTGATGATAAGAAGAGCAAAAATCTGTCTACAATGAGTAAATTTAATGCACAAATATTAAGAAGGGATCGAAACAATGTAACACTAATAAAAAGAGAAAGATCAAACATTGAGAGAATGGTTTAAAAAGAAAGAATTAAAATAAATGTATGAAGGAATAACAGATAAAGGTAAGAAATGAGTGCATGTACGCCAATGCAGGTGATTGCAAAACACATCACCTAATGTTTCAAACCACTAAGTGTAGTACTCATGAATAATACAACTAGGTAGTCTTATTTTCTTAACATACCCTAGACCGATAGTCAGTGGCTTCAATGTAAATAATACCACATTTTAATAAGGTTGACCCTAACCTTTTTCCAATGTAGTCCGACATTCAGTCAGTCAGTCAGTCAGAAACAACGTGGAACTTCGTACGTACGTACACCAGTTCGAGTTGCCATACCACATTAGCACAGAGATTCAGTTATCGATTCAAATCCCGTAGTGGCAGAGTAGTGAAAGTATAAGTAGTGACAGGAAATGTTAAGGTTTGATGATGTTATTTAAGGAGTATGATACAGTGGAATATATTTGGAAAGAAAATAAAGGACATGGAGAATTCAGAAGATTAGAGTTTCATAGAACACAGAGAGTGGATGCACCTGCGCCATTGCAAACGATTTTGAGCCATGTCATTCAAGGACTTCCAAGATAAGTGAAGCGGTCGACACGCCCATCTACTTCACTCCCTATCACTAGTTCGGGTGTCGATGCAACCCAATCCTGAAGCAACATTTTGCATTTCGAGGGAGAGAATCGCATCCCGAACATGCCTGCATTGTTGCTTGGAGTGGTCAGCAGACTCTGAATTTTGTCAGCGTCTTCACCAAATAGAACAATGTTATCGGCATATTCTAAGTCAACAAGTGAATCTCCCGGTAAAAGTTCAAGCCCTGGAAAGTCAGATGTGGAAAGTGTTATTTCTAAAAGCACGTTAACGAAAAAGTTAAACAAGAATGGAGAGAGTGGACAGTCCTGACGAACACCACTTGAGGTTATCAGTTCTGATGACAGTTCGCCGTAAGCTCTCACTCGACCAGTTGTGTTTGAGCAGAGAGCCTTTATAAGGTTAATGTACTTCTTTGGTACTCCCTTCAGTGACAAACACTGCCATAGAACCTCACGATCAACAGAGTCAAATGCCGCGTTAAGGTTGAGAAATACTACAATTGTGGGGCTTCTGAATGTGTGTCTATGTTCTAGGACCTGACGTAGTGTGAATATCTGATCTATACAACCACATCCAGGTCGAAAACCAGCCTGGTTTTCTCTAGTCTGCATTTCACGAGCTTTGGTTAGACATCGAAGTATTATTGAAGCTAATATTTAAGACACTATATTAGTCAAACTAATTCCTCTGTGATTGTCACAAGAAGACTATTGTCCTTTCTTATAAACTGGCACGATCGGTGATTGAGACCAGTCAGGTGGGATTACGTCCAGTTCCCAGATTCTACCTAAGACCTCAGTCAATCTCGCTGCTAATACTGGACCGCCATCCTTAAAAATCTCAGCGGTAAACCTGTCAGGGCCTTCTGCTCTCCCACGCTTCAGATTTCCTATGGCTTTTTCAACTTTGTAAGGAGTTGGAGGACTTACATCAACTTGCCATTCAGGTAGATTGGAGATCGTGGGAAACCGAAGTGTGACTGAAGGCCAGTTGAACTGATCCCTAAAGTGTTCTGCCCATTGATCCAATCTCCTGGATTGAGAATGAATAATATGTCCATCTTTCTCTGAGATTGTTTCGCTAACAGTTGGGTTCCTAATACCGGTTTCTTTAACAAGTCTGAACAGTTGTCTGCTTTTAACTATTGTCACTGTCTTTTCCATCTCTCTTGCTTTCGCTACCCATCACTGTTCACGACCATTGCATAGGCTTCTAGTCAGCTTACGCTTAAGCTGACTCCGCTCTTCGTTATGTTCAAAGCCAGATGGAATGAGTCTTCGAGCATCTATCAGTGCGGTAGATGCTGCTGAGATCCAGTGTTTCTCGCTAACCTTATGGTTCAGCGTACTTGCAGACATCACTGCTGTTTCTACAGCTTTTCGGATGTCATTCCACGCTGCCTCGGGGTGGGCATCACTTACATGGCTGCCTAACTGTTTTTCTAGTTGTTCCTGAAATATACTCTTAGCTTGACTATCATTAAGTAGGACCCTAAGGGGTTTCCTTGTTCCATCTTTCCTACGTCCAGTAAGACGTAGACAAACACGCGCTCAAACCAGAGCATGATCTGAGTCTAAGCATGTGTTCCAGAATGAGCGACAGTCTTCTATCGAGCCCCTCCATCGGTGGCTGATAGAGATGTGATCTATTTGGGTCCAGCGTTGGGATGAATTAGAGGGTCGCCATGTCAAAAGATGTTTTTCCTTATGCTTAAAGTTAGTGTTTGCTAAAAACAGGAGGTTATCTGAGCATAGCTGCAACAGACGTTCGCCGCTATCTGCTCTTTGAGCCGCGACACCATAAGATCCACCCAGGTGTCTTTCCCTTTCGCTTAGTTTACCTACTTGAGCATTAAAGTCACCAGCCACTATTACTACATCTGAACGCCTAGCTTTTCGGAGAAGGTCGGAAAGCATTCTGTAGAACTCATCTTTTACATTATCTGAGCTACAGTCAGTGGGAGAGTAGGCAGAGACGACGAAGAGGCAACGACGAGTGTCTCTATCTTTCCGAGTCCTTACTGTTCCGTTTAGTCGGACAGCACACAGACGACTGTCTACTGGGATCCAGTCTAAGAGAGCTAGTTCTGCCCTAGGACTCAATGCTATACCTACGCCAGTGAGGCCACGGGAAGCAGCATCAGGGCTTCCAGATACATGAAGCGTAAATCGAGTTGGTTCGTTACTTTGACATAGTGAGGTCAAATGAATGACACTACTCGGATCCTGTATGCGCGTTTCGGAGACGCAGCACACATCGATGGAGCGAGATTCTAAATCCCTAGCTAAGGAAGCCTGTTGTCCTATTTGGCACAGTGTTCGGACGTTGAAAGCTCCTACGTGTAGTTTAGGGCATGGTTTCAGGAGACCAGGAATAACATTCCGCGTACTCGAATCGTTTGCACTAGCGGGGCGAGGTTATAGAGGGACGTGAGAAGGGTTAGTCGTGGAGATAAAGAGTTATTAGGAGGTGTAGGAAGGATTTGAATGTGACCAACGTGGTCTCGTGTGCTGTTACGGGTATGAGGGCTGGTGTCACTTCCCGGCTGCCCACACCATGGAAGGGTATTTCTTGAGGAACCTGAAAAGGAAATCGGATTAGTGTTGGTCTTGAAGACCTGGGAGCGTGACCTCAGAGCCCAAGGAACGACTGCCAGAGACCGGTCGCGCACGGCCTTTTTGTGGGATGTTTTTAATGTGTTAGCTCAGTTCTTCAAAGGGCCTTACCACCGGAGACGGAAATCCGTGAGGTAAGGTGGGGTGTGACATTTTTAGGGTCAATTTTTTTTAACCCCTCCCTTCCTTGTGAGAAGGCAGCATCGCTGTTATGCTGGTTGTCCGAGGGAAACACCTTACGGCTGTCACACCTCTGTACAGTCAGCAATACGACTTCGCCCTCAGACCTTGAGTTGCTGCTTTTAGTCTTACCGTTTTTCAATCGACCTGCCTGGCATGGTAGAACCTGCAGGAACATGTGTTCCAGCCAATATAGCTCGGTTGGGTCATCACGATAGGCAAGCCCAACCATCACATCAAGGTAGCAGCTACGGTCCGACATCAATCAACCAACACCACCCGTCGAAGAGGTAGTGGTTAGGAACACGTAATACATGTACTAACTACCTCAGTATGAGTCTTTAGACTTATTACCTCATCAAATACCTGCACCCTAAGTATATCTAATTTTATAGGGTATACTTTACAGTCATAGAGTACCACAAAAATAGGTTAGCTGTGCAGAATCCTAGCATTTTGATTAACAAACAACTATCCTGTCTATGCCACAAATGACTTGAATTGGAAAGAGTCAATCGAAGATCTCTGAAACAGTAATAAACATCAACCTAACAGGACTGAACAACAATCTAAGATGAAAATAAAAGCTGAAGTATACTTAAATCAAGAATTATAAAACACAATGTTTTTCTATGTTAGTTAATGAAACTGAATAATTGGTAAAACTTTGTAAAAGTAAGACAGAATACCAATAAACACAGAATTTCAACTAAATAATTCAATAGAGATATGTCTATTGCATGACTTTAGAACTGATACACAATCTTTTCATAAATTTTTACGACAGGACCTGTATACAATGAAACAACATACATTTATTGAATACTTAATATTTCTGTTAGTTAATATCAATCAACCTATGATTAAATAATCAATCAATCACTCAAAGTAAACTAAGAACAACATATATTGTAATGTATGTGTGGTGTATGCCACTTGTGTTGACAGATAAAGGTAGTAAATAATACCAATCAAAAGGGGAATATCTGGCAACAGAATGTTGACAAGATCAAATTGACGTAAACAAAGAAAAAAATGTAAAAGCGTTATTGTAATAACAACAAGAATGAAGGAACGATAAAGTTTATAAGACGGAACTGATGGAACATTTGCAAATTGAAGATATTC